GTAAATTGGAGTTTTATTAATATCTAGCTATCATATAGATAAATAATTTCATAAATAAATTTATATAGACTAAACTTTAAAAATAATAATGTTATTATGAGTGATAATGCCAAAAACCGGCTTCCTTTAAAAATGATTATTTTGAAAAATAGTTTTTCTTATGTAATTCATTTCAAGATTGTAATGAGCCTTTTATGTAATTTGATTTTTAAACAGTTTAATAATTATCCACAATGATTGAAAATGAATGGAACAATGACATTTTTCATGTTTTGCTCTAGTAGTATTTATGTGTGTTCGCACCATTTGTCAATATTCTTGTATTTAAAGGGAAAACACAAATTAATTACCCATGTTGTAATTTGTGTTCTTATTTTACCATTTATAATTTAGAATTTAATTTTTATAAATAAACTTTGAGCATATCATTAATAAACTTCCATATTTATATTAATAAACTTGCATAAATTCTCATGTAATTATGTATGTATATCATGTTATTTATGCAAGATGAATATGATAGAAATATTCAATGTAAATATGTAAAGATAATTGATAATTTAACTTTTTTAGAATATTTTTTGGTACATAATTTATTTGAAAGATGCGTAATCATGAAGAGAATATGTTATGAAAAAATGTAATAAAAGTATACAAATTACTTACCATTCACTTACTAATGTTTTTATAGATGATTATTCTATACTACTTAATAAAGGGAAAATATAAATTAATTACCCATTGTGTAATTTGTATTCCTATTTTACCCTTTATAATTTATAATTTAATGTTTATAAATAAACTTTGAGCATACCATTAATAAACTTCAATAAATTCCCATGTAATTATGTATGTACATCATGTTATTTATGCAAGATGAATATGATAGAAATATTCAATGTAAATATGGAAAAATAATTGATAATTTAACTTTTTAGTATATTTTTTGGTACGTAATTTATTTGGAATATGCGTAATCATGAAGAGAATATGTTATAAAAAATGTAATAAAAGTATACAAATTACTTTCAATCCACTTACTAATGTTTTTATAGATGATTATTCTATACTACTTAATAAAGGGAAAACACAAATTAACTACACATGGTGTAATTTGTGTTCCTATTTTACACTTTATAATTTAGAATTTAATATTTATAAATAAATTTTGACCATACCATTAATAAACTTCCATATTTACATTAATAAACTTCCATGAATTCCCATGTAATTATGTATGTACACCATGTTATTTGTGCAAGATGAATAAGATAGAAATATTCAATGTAAATATGGAAAGATAATTGATAATTTAACTTTTTTAGTATATTTTTTGCTGCATAATTTATTTGGAATATGAGTAATCATTAAGAGAATATGTTATGAAAAATATAATAAAAATATATAAATTACTTACAATCCACTTACTAATGTTTTTATAGATGATTATTTGCACATTAAACCATCATAACATTTTTTTCTGTTCTTTTTTTAACAAGGTGACAGAATGTAACAACACCCCAAATTTATTGAACAATAAAGATTTGATATAAGGTTCATAGATGTTTATTGTTTTTTTTTGTTTTCAATGAGAAGAGAATATATAATTAATGCATACATATCTTTTATTTCACAGGAAATGAGAATTATGGTCAAATATTTGATTCATCGACCTAAGTTAATATACATTTTATTAGAAATAGGAAAAGAAAATTAAGGTGAATTATTTAATTCATCAACTCAATATTTTGTTATTCAATATAAAATAGAATATATGACACAAAATTAATTGAATCAACACATCAACATAGAACATGTATGTTCATCTTGATAACAACTTAGCCGCAATTGAACGTGTTATTTATACATTTCGTGCTTAGGGTTCAATTTATCACAACATTCAGGTAATTGTTCATTGTTAAGTAGTAAAGAATTGGAGTGCAAGATATCATCAATTCATTAACATTGAACAATTACCTCAATCGAATATATTCAACTGCAAATTATAATATATAACCAATTTACTACATTAGATATTTATTGCATGTAGACTACACATTACAAATGATAAGAAAGCGAGTGACAGACACTACTAGTTATACTATAAAGGTATAGAATATCCAGATGAAATAATTTGAATATCATTATTAATAATAATTATATTATTAATGATAAAAGTAATGTGCCACTTTTTGTAGGATCTTGTGGATGTTGTTGCCGATGGTGAAAACCACTACTGTTGATACTTTGAAGAAAAACTAAACATTGAGAATGATATTGAAGGAAACAAAAATTTACATGTCAAAAATTAAAATGGAGAAATTGTGAGGAAGATAGACAAAATGTTAATATGAATAAGATTTTTAATTTGTGACAAAGAATAAGACGAGTGATGACTAAAGAGAGAAAAAAAAATTAGAAAATCTTATTGAGTTCGTGAAAAAATTAACTCTAGAAAATTAAAGTGTACACAATCCTTAAACTAATAATACAAGATTTAAGATTATTGTCATTTTTAAATATTTCAATCTCACAAATGTATGATCAGTTTTTTTAGCATTACAAATATTTGTAACAATATTTTGATATTATTTTCAATAAAGCATGCATAATTAAATCTCATATTTCAATAAGAATAATTTATTGCAATGTATAAATGTTAAGACTGTAGAATAAATAAAACAAAAATAACTCATAAAAAAGTCACATACAATCACTCAACTAAAAATTCAAGATTTAGAAAGAGTAAGTTTCAGAAAAAATAATTAATACAAAAGTTGTTACATTCGGAAGATGAATTTGAGAGATAAAGTAGGAATTTAGAAAAAAGAATTGTTGAATGTTTTTGGGTTGATACATTTCTTTATATGGAACTAGTAAAATACCCGTGGCTTCGCACGGGAAAGTTTATTTTTAAGCATATTTAGAATCTTTATTTTTTTATGTTAATTTTAGGATTATGTAAAGATATATATATATAAATATATATATATATATATATATATATAAATATATATATATATATATATATATTTGTGTGTGTGTGTTTAGAAATAAGAAGAAAAATATTAATAAATTGGTCATTATTTAAATGTAACATATGATCATGTATATATATGATGATTATTACATGCTAAATATAGTATTACTAAATATCAGAAACGGAAAACATGATCAATCCCTGAAAATATACCATAATTCGAATTTAGTAGTAGGTGTTATAGTGTTACATGTTTATAGGTTTTGGAAAACTTCTTTGAACACCACATTTATTGTAGTGTTCATTGTTTTTCCTTCCTTGTCATGTATCAGTATTTTAAGTCCTTCCATTGATTGAACTCTTGAAAAAGCAACATATAGTTGTTCATGACCGAAAATTGGTCGAGGTAGATACAACTCAACACTTGCTAGTGATTGCCCTTATGACTTGTTAATTGTCATAACATATGAAACCGTCAACGGAAATTGTCTCCTTGTTAATTTGAAATGCCACGTTGAATGAGATGGAGACAAACTCATTCGTGGAATGTAGAATATTTTCCCAACATTTTTTTCTGTCATTACCTTCGCTTCGATGACATGGTTTGCTAGTCTATTTACAATCATTTTTGTTCCATTGCACAAGCCTTCAGTCTGATCTAAATTCCTCAATAGCATAATTGGTGTTCCTATTTTCAATTTGATTTTGTGGTTAGGCAAGCCTGAAGTTCTGAGGGAGTTTAGAAACTCAGTAGTAAGTCCTTGTAGAGCTTCAATGCCGTTAGATTATGATGAGCTTGGATATTCCCTTTCATCACCTTCATTTGAAACAAAATGTTATAATGTTGACATAATAACATTTATGAATATGTTAAAAAATATGATTGAATGTCTACATGGGATTAATGATAGCACATAATCATTTATTTCATCAAATGTTTCAATTGTTGAAGCCAAAATAGCTCTACATTGTAGAAATTCTTCATTCATGTATTCATCAACTGAATTTGGATAAGTACTTTTAACTATAGCATGAATGGGATTATCGTAATTAGTTATTAGACATTGTTCTGGTATCTCAATCAGTGTAAAACCATTATTTGGCTCTGACAATTTTTCGTCACCTACATCTAAAATTCATTTTGCAAATTTACCTCAGCACAACTTCCTTCAAAAACTTTCTACAACCAGGACAATTAAATGGAATCCTAATTGCATCAGCTTTTCTATTGCATTGGGGGCACCCATCATAGTACCATCCATTAGCAAACAACTTCTCAATTGTGGCATAAGTGACACAAACAGATTCCTTAATGGGACAAAAAGTAACAAAATTGTGAAATGATTGTTACTATCATTGCAAACAATGGGTAATAAGATTAGAAGTTTTTTACGTGATCAAGTTGGATCAATTCAGATATTGTTTTGACAACTGCATTTTGGAAGAACTTGTCTTGAGACCCCCCAGAGAGGATGAAGATGTATTACTCATGCGTTGATTGTATGACTCATATGGTTTTCCTGAGCCCAAGCTGAAATTTTAGAAAGTCGCAACAAAATAGACATTAAATAAGTTCAATATGTAAAGTAGTAAAGAGAATTCAACAAAAATTGAAATATTACCTTTTAGTGAAAACTTGAATTTCCTGAATTGTCATTTATAAAAAGCTTTGAACCATACATTGTATTTTAAATGGTTATAGGATAACCTCCTATGTAAGTCAGATTTATATTAGAATAGTATAGACAATAAGAAATTAAGACAAGGGAAAAAAAAATAATATTACCTTTCGCTTCTCGAATCTTTGTAAGGGTGAGTATGACAACTATTGGACCAAACTTGTGATCGCGTTCATATTTCAGGAGTTGTGATGCAAATTGACCCCACAATGTACAACTAATGTTATTCCCTCTGCAGTGATTAAATAAGTTAAATAAATTAGTATATAATTATTTTCACAAAATGTATTGTCTAACCATGAGTTTTGGCTGATAAAGATGACCTTTAGTCTTGCATGCCGAAGACGACCTTCTTCGACATTGATTCAGGCTAGCTCATCTCTATGTCAATGAACTCTCCAATGACATCTGCAAATTATGTAAACAAATCAATTAGAATGAACTACTATTGACAAAGACACGTAAGTGCATATATATATATATAATTATATACTAAATTGAATGAAACATGTAAATTACCAATTAAAACATTTGTGGTAGCAACTCCACTGAGGATGTCCTCAAATGCAGTGAATTGATAAATATAAGGAGGAATCTCTGACAATTGTTTGTTAATTATTTTATGGTCCCCTTCTGAAATATTAACTTGAAAGAGTATTTACAACCTCTATATTGTCATTCGTTACTAACCACGTCAAAATTCTCACCAACATAACTCTGGCCCTCCTGGAGTTGAGGCTCCCATAGAGAAATATGGTAATTCTTGACCATAGCTTCTATCTTGTCACCCTAATTTACGGAAGCAAAAATAATACAGAGAAGAAATGATGTAATTACATATAAATGGTTTAATAGTTTAAAAACATATAGTCAGAAAATTACATTTTCATCCATGAATATCATTTCCAATGATGGCGCCGATGATCTTTCCACACGCCAAAGACCAATAATCCTAACTTTAATCTTCCAAGTATCTTTGGTTGCATTAATCTCTTCAATGAAGTTTACTCTACGTGCCATATCTGGATTAATATTTGCAAAACTAAAGCAAGTTGTTGACAATGCAAGAGAAAAAAAATATTGGTTTTATGTAACCAAAAAAGGAGGGGATGAAGAGCTATGAAATTGAAAATGAAGGGGGATAATAGTAAAATGAAATGATGAGAGTTAAAATATTAAGTGTAAAAAATTAATGTGTTTGGTGAGCAAATTAAAATGATATTAGTATTAAAAATAGTAAATGAAAATTCAATTCTTGAGTTATAAGAATTGATTTAAGAAATTAAAAAATTAATGTGTTTGGTGAGCAAATTAAAATGAGAGTTATTAGTATTAAAAATAGTAAATGAAAATTCAATTCTTGAGTTATAAGAATTGATTTAAGAAATTAATTGTTGGACTCAATTGGAAATTTGAAATTAAGTCATTTTTTAACTAATTGTACTATTGTAGTGATTGTGAATTGTTTAACATGTGAGTTTTGTTTTTTTCTACGTTTTTCTAATCTGTTTTCTAATTCAAATTTGATATTGACAAAGTTATCCAATATGGGATGTAGATAGAGATTTCTGTTTTTTTCCCATCATGGCCTAGAAAGAACTTTGTACACCCTTGTCTATTTATTCACATCACTATCGAATTAATTTTATTTGACCGATTCAATTAAATAGAACCTTAATATAAATTAATATAAATGAATATTTCAATTTAATTATATTTCAATTAAAATGTATCATACTTTAATTGTCTTCATTTCTCATTCAAAGTTTTTTAATATTCTGACTTTATAATTTTTGTTAAAAAGGGTTCATCATTTTCAGGATAATGTGAATGAGAATTTAAAGATACTCTTTGTTAAACACATTGAATGATTCAAACTCGAATTGAACTTTGACTATATAAATTTTACGTCATTGATTATTAGTAAATGTAATTTAAGAAAGAGTATAATATTTATGTACGATTATTTTACAGATTTGTACACATTTAGTATATTACTCATTATTCAGTTACATTTTTTGAAGAACCAATAATAATTAAAAATAAATGAATGTGTTGATATCGTATAAAACTCATATGTTAGTGCATATATTTTTTTATCTTTTAACAACACCATGCTGGAAAACAAAAGGTTTTTACTTTCAATGCTTTTTATATAAAAAAATAAACTTTGTTTAATTGGTTAATGAAATAGTTAACATTTCACTATACTTGAGGAGGGAAAATAAAAATAATAAATGAGAAGGTTAGAATTTAATCAATTTATCACCGTTTTTTTAGCAAAAAAAAGAAGGTAATAATAAAACAAAAGTAGAATGACATTATGACAAGTTTTATTGGGAAGTGAATGAAAGTTTTGGGCGGGAAAACGTTTCTCCAGCTCTTGACACGTGTATGAGTTGAAATTGTAGGCATATATTTTTTTATCTTTTAACAACACCATGCTGGAAAACAAAAGGTTTTTACTTTCAATGCTTTTTATATAAAAAAATAAACTTTGTTTAATTGGTTAATGAAATAGTTAACATTTCACTATACTTGAGGAGGGAAAATAAAAATAATAAATGAGAAGGTTAGAATTTAATCAATTTATCACCGTTTTTTTAGCAAAAAAAAGAAGGTAATAATAAAACAAAAGTAGAATGACATTATGACAAGTTTTATTGGGAAGTGAATGAAAGTTTTGGGCGGGAAAACGTTTCTCCAGCTCTTGACACGTGTATGAGTTGAAATTGTAGGAACATTTTTTTATTAAATAGATATAGATATGAATTTTATGGTGCTAGAGTCATTTTAAAACTTTCAAAAAATATTCTAAAACGTTAAATCAAATATGTATTAATTAAACATTTGAAATTTAAGTGTTAAACATTGTAACAAATTATTTGACAAACGTTATCAATTTGCACGATTAAGTGCAAATTTTTCCCTTAATTTTTTTATTAATTATCTATTCTCCTTTTTAGTGTAATGCTATCAATTTATATGATTGAGTGCAATTGTTTTTCTTAAAAATGTTATCAATTATTTCTTTCTCTTTTAATTGTATTGCATTTTTTGCCTTATGATATTCTCTCCAATTTGATTTAAAAAAATCACCTGAATCTTTTTCTCTTCTATTACTATTACTTTATTAGAAATAATAAATAAATAGATATTAATAATAGAATGATGTGAAAATAGATAAAACATTACAAATAGGAAGAAAAGTAAAAAAAATCAAAATATATTAATGAAGTATTATGTTTTTAATTATACGATAGAGTGCAATTCTTTTTCCTTAAAAACATTATCAATTATTTCTTTCACTTTTTACTGTAATATTATCAACATACATGATTGGGTGCAATTCTTTCCCCCTAAAAACATTATCATTTATTTATTTCCTTTTTTACTGTACTACATTTTTTATAAGTCACTGTTATTATATTCTAAAATAAGATCAATTTCAAAATACATATCGCTATTTTCAATTATATGATTGAGTGTAATTATTTCCCTTAAAAATATTATAAATTATTTCTTTCCCTTTTTACTGTAAAGTTATAAAAAACGTATTACAATTAAAAGAAGTATGGATATTTTGAAAGTTATCAATTTCAAAATACATATTATTATTATTTGATTCTAAAATAACTGTTACCATCAACAATTGAGAATTGATTGCACATAATTGAGAATTGATTGCACATGGCTTAAGCTTGAAGGAGAAATCATACTTGTGCTTAATGTAACAGAAAAATTAGAAGATCATAAGTTAAACGGTTAATGATCAAAAGAAGGATGATATGCAAAGAAAAGGAAAATGAGTTTGATTTCCTCATTGAAGAGTGTGTACAAAGAAAGAGAAAGAGAGTGTGGAAAGTGACTTACTTGTGTTTAATGATACAGAAAAATCAGAAGATCATACATGTGAAGTTAATCGATTGTTGATCAAAAGAAAGATAACATGCAGAAAAAAAAGAAAATGAGTTTGATTTTCTTATTGACGAGTGAAGAGAGTGTATGACAAGAAGATGAGAAGTGTGAAAGGAAAAAGTATGGAGAGATTTCCATTTCCATGAGTTACATGTTGAATAGTGAACTATAGAAATTCGAATTTTAGGAGGACAAAACCATCATCTTTTCTACTGTATGAATCATCTCAAAGACAATGAAAATAATACAAATAATTTGTCTTTCTGACACAAACTTTGAGATTGATACTAAATTAGAGGCAACTACTAATACTATCCACATTTATTCGTAATGATTGACTGGTTTATTATGGGTGACAATTGGATGAATATTGATGGATTTGGATTTTAATGGGGATGAAAATTCATTCATCAATTCATATAAATCCATTTAAATAATATTTTAAATTTATCAAATCCATTAATATCCAAACTCAATGGATTGATTCCAACCCGTCTATGACTCTATTTTCATAGATTTGGACTAATGAATATTAATTCATTTGATTTTTATATTGGAACTAAAATTAAAGCACGTTTGAAGAAAATCTTTCTTTTAAAAACCACTATTTCAATAAATTATTTTTTAAAATCACTTTTTTTTATAAAAAAAGCACTTTTAAAAATCACTTTTTAAAGTGCTATTTCAAACTTTTAAAAATATTATTTTTGCAATATTTTATAAACATGGGACATTTAAGGTTCTGCATCCACATGACATGTCAATTTGATTTGAAAAAATGTTTTTTTAAAAAGTGTTTTTTTTAACTTTTAAAAAAATTGCAACATTCTAATCACATTTGACATTTAAGGTTCTATACGTAAAGTTGTTAACATATATTTATATATGTTATGTACTATAAATAAACTTTTAATCATAATTACATCCACATGTCCTATAAATAAAAATGCAAAGTGAGAGTGAGAAACACTACAAAAAATGGAAGTTGAGATATCCATTGGATTAAAAACAAAGGCAAATTTTAAGGTGGATTTTAGATTAAAAACTAATTCATTTCACTGTTAGACGTTGGTATAATAAGACACTTCATTTTTGCACTTGATTACTAAGAGGCGTACCCAAATAACATCTCCTACGTTGATGACAATCTTAGAGGAAACACAAGACCTCAGATTAAGATTGTATCTTAGTATTAATATTGCCTAATAAATATTTTACCCTGCATTTAGTATCTTCGGAGCATACCCCACAAGGCCTCCTGTTGTTGTTGTTGACAATTTCAGAGGAAATACAAGGTTTTAGACTTACATTACATCTATTAAGTGCAAGATATTTTAGTCTTTCATGTTACTTTGGATAGCAAGATATGTGACAATATCGAGAACTAATTAACTTGTATTTACCAAAATTTAGGTTATATTCACAAATTTTTTATACATATGATGTATGAAAAATGTGAATTTATTTTGTTTCTTTTATTGATTGCGAAGTGTATGAATTGATTTATTTTTCTGACTTTTAAATAATTTATGGTGGTTTATGAAATGCAACGTATGAGATACTATTGTATGAAATGCAATGTTTGAATAATTTATTTTTCTTGAACGGATGCATGAACACATAAGTGATGATGAATGCATATGAATAATATTTTTATTTGATTGATCATATGAATAGACGAATGATTGTTTGAATGATGTAACTTGTTGAATAATATTTTTTTATGAATGTTTGAATGATTATTTTTGAATGAATGTGTGTATGAGTGACATGTATGATCATGATGTGTAATGATGTCAATATATTTTGCATGCCCATAGGGTGGGGTATACTATTTTAGGGAAATATAACTT